AAACCCAAGATAAGTCCTTTGGAATCGCAGAAAGCCACAGGATCAATACGGCAATGAGGCGCTCGCTTAAGAAGTCCTGAATAGAGAGGTAGCACAAATCTTCAATGGTACTATATGCGAATTAATACCTGGAGAACCAGATAGACTGAACAGGACCAAAGTGTTCAGTAAGGCACTCCACCAACCAGGCCACCAGAGGAGTAATCAGAGGAAAAGGACCCAATCGTAGGGACCAGGGTCAGGCTATAGCCCTTCCAAACTATCTGAATTGGTAGTTTGGGATAGCTAGAATGACTGGAAAATGTCTGTAGATGTACTTAGGTTTGGGTGAACTCTATAAGGGCAGTAGTAAGTAACTGTAGCGGCCTTATCTCGCAAGTACTTGTCCTCAGACTCAGCATAAGTTACCAAAGAAGACTAGATAATACGGAAATAGTGAGTACCGGACTGCTCTAGCAGGTGATGCAATTGAGGATAAATTGGTTAACTATGCTGGTAGTCCTATAAGTGGATGCGAAGATTTTGGAACTTGGACTGACTTATATATCGCATGTTCTGAGTGAGATTAGATAGATTGATATAGGAAACTCAGATCAAAGGGTTTAATTGGATAATTCAAGTAATAGTGGGTTACAGATACGGCATCTAGTGTAGCACCTAGCACATAGGTAGATTACTTAATTAGGCACCCAAAAGGTGCAAATATGGCTAGAATGTATTCTTATCAGAATGTACTTGTCTGGAGCTCCTTTAAAAAGAGCACCATATGATCCTAATATCTAATAAAAGCAATAAGCCGAAGAGGCTAACCTTGATTATAAAAAAAAAAAACTAATAGTAGCTAATCTTAAATTAGTTTATAAATAGAAAATTAAGAGGTGATTTGCTACACTTAAATGGTTATACAAGATATAATAGATAGTTTAAATTAATATCATCCTAATATAAATCTGTAACTAATCTTATCATGTATACAGCAAATTCAAAATAAAAATAAAAAAAAAAAAAAAAAAAAATTAATACAAAATAGTTGCAAACCCTTTTGGTATAGTTGTACGGCTAACCTGGTATTAGCCTTCTGATTATGAAAAAAAAATTCAAATTAGTGTGACTGACCACTTCTGGGCACCCACAAAGTAGCTGAAGAATGTTGGGCCTAGATATTAAGCTCAACATTATGTAATCTAGTTATATAATAATCTTAATAAAGAATCACTGACAAGGTTGCCAAAAATTAAAAAAAAAAAAAAAAAAAAAAACTAAATTTTGCTATTACTAACTATTATTAATCTGTCATGTCTTTTTTTGGTTATTTATTAATACAAAAAAAGACAGTGTTTGTTACTAACTACTATAGTATTTATCTTACCAAAAATACAAATTAAATGAATTGATAAAATATATAACTTAATAAAAAATCTTGAATAAGTATTTATATATTTAAAATTATTGATTTAAATATATTGACTAATAAACAATCTTTATAACATAAATAAAATAAATTAAATACTTGTAAATAGACTTTTATTATAATATTTACTAGCAATTTACAAGTTAACTTCCTAAATTTAATGGTTTAAAGTTGTGAAAATAAGAGGCTTATTTTAAATAAGCAAACTAATGAAATAAAATGCTTATGTATTAAATAGTTTTATAATTACTTTATCAAATTTCTTATATGAAGTTTATACTTTAATGTATTTGATATTACACTAATTATTCAATCACATTAATTTATAAAAATATCTGTGCATCAAAAAATTTTTTTATATATACATATGGACATCAAATTTTTTACTTATATATCAGAATTTATATAGTGTATTGGAATATGCAATGTATTATATAAATCAAAACTATATGTAATTATATAAGAAAACTTATTAATAAAAGATTTTTCGATAGATCATAAAAGTTTAATAATTATTAAAAAATTTTAAATAGATGCACAGCCATAACAGTTTGATAGTTTTGGTAAAATTTTATAAAAACCAGTATTATATCTATACAAATAAAGCTATAGAGCCATTTCTTTTATTTAATATAAAAAAATTTCAGTACACTATTTTTTTTTCTTAAAAAAAAAAGTCAAGTAGAAAGAACTTAATTTAGATTTTTTTTTTTTGAAATGGCTCTATAGTTCTGTTTGTAAAGACATAATACAGATCTTTATAAAATTTTATTCAAAACTATTAAGCCATTAGGACTGTGCATTTATTTAAAATTTTCTAATAATTATTATAAATTTTTATAATTTATCGAAAAATCTTTACTAATAAATTTTATTATATAACCACATATAGTTTTGATTTACATAGTACACTGCATACCTCAACAGTATATACATACTGTATATTGTCAAAAATAAGCTATGCCAAAAATAAGCTACTTTTCTTTTTTAGACAAGAAAAGTAAAAAAAGTCTTTTACCCAAAAGAAGCTACCCCCATAAACAATAGTGTTGCTACATAGTAAAGTTAAAATTTTACTAAATAAATTGACCTATCTTATTAAGTAAAAATTATTCAGAAGATTAAAATGCATATATTCTAAAAATTTTATATAAACCAGAAAACATTTTATTAATTGATTTTTGCATATTACATTCAATGAAAATTTAAAAATTTCTTTAAAATTTATATTCATTGAGTGTAAAAATCAAAAGTTAATTAATAAAATATTCTTTGATTTATATAAAATTTTTAGAATATATGCATTTTGATCTTATGAACAATTTTCATTTAATAAGGTAAGTCGATTTACTTAGTAAAATTTTTTGTAAATGATGAAAAACTGCTTTTATCCAATAATAAGCTATCTGTAATATTTTTATGTAATTTTTTCAAAAAAAAAGTAGCTTATTTTTGCAATATATGGTATTGTGCACGTAGTTTTTGATCTAAATTTTAAATACTAGTTATACAAAGATAGACAAACATTGCAGATTTGTGTAATGATCTTGCATATTTTAATAAAGAGCTATATTTTATATTAAATATAAACTGTCAGAATTTTAGTAATAAAATTTTATTTAAATCATATTGTTCATCATCTCAATTATGGGCTTAATATGTAGATTATAATCTATTTGATAATATTTTATAAATGTCATATACCTTGTCATTTTGAGACAGTGTTGTGAAAATTACTATGTCCAATTGTTTTCAAATTAATTGAACATATATCTAATTGGTTTTGGACATATATCCAATTAATTTAAAAACAATTGGACATAATAACTCTCACAACACTGTTTTGAGATTATGATCTTTGTGGTAAACTTCCTGTGATCATTCATCAAAAATACTTTGGCCTGCTGAAATAATTCAGTAAATTTATTATGCTGAAACTGAAATTAAAGTAAAACAGAATCATGTGTAATATGACTAATTAAATTATAGCATTTTGATAATTGCTAGTGAAGCAAAACAAGAAATAAAAATGAAAAACCTAAAAAATACAAAAAACAGCAGTCTAAACCTACCTTGGGTGAATTAATCAAAAATGTCAGAAAGGCAATTTTGCATATATATCATTATCTAAAATATAATCTAATTAATATAAGATGATCTAACTCTAAAGTTAATATATATTATAAGAATCTTCTTTACTTTAAGCATCCTCCAAAATTAGTAATATTGATTTATTTTTAAAAAAAAGAAAATTAATACATAAAATTAAAATCAATAATTGATATTTATATCTAAATATTATTATCAAAATTGTGTTAAAAATACATATATTAGGTTATATAGAACAGAAAAAAAACTACAATACCAAACAGTTAAAGATATCTACTTTTTTTTAAAAACATTAAATTTATGATTATATAATCAAATATGATTGGCTAATTTCTTGTATAATGAATTTTAATTGATTAAAAATATATATAACTATTTTTTTATATATTAAACACCAAATTTTAGATTATATATAAACTTTAAACTCTAAAAACTTATAAATTTTATAATAAAAATTAAAATCTATTCTAACAGAATTGTAGCTTAAACTAAAAGCAACAAATTTATAAAACAGATTTTTTTAAAGTTATTTATTTTTAAGTTATAAGCTTTTTTAAATTTTTATATATAAAAAGTAGATATCTTTAGTTGTTCAGTACTATATATATATATTACAATATCTTTAATATTTTTAATAATTTTGCTGCATTGAAAATACTAATGTATATAATTTTAATTATGATAAGCCCAAAGATATCATTTCTGCAGACAATCTTAAGCCTGTAATTCAATAGTGGGCTTAATATTAGTTTAAAATAAACAACTTGAGATTGATCATTGTATATTTGTGTAATTTACTTAAAGATGTTGCTATAAAAAAAGCAATATACCTATAACAATTCTTATAGTTCTCAATACTATGATCTTTCTAAGATGCTATTTAGCCTGTTATTTAATATCACAAATTAAAACGAAATCTAATCAATATAATTTTTTTTTGTTTTTTAAGGAAAATTTAAAATTTTTTGGTATCATTTTTTGAGATTCTTTTTAGTAGTTTAGGATTAGATTTATTAATAAATGAGTATATATGTGTTTTATAGGCTTTAAGAGTGGACATAAAAGGTCTTCAGTTTCATTTTAATCAGATTTCATTTAATAAATAACAGGCATAATGTACTAGTTTTATTTAGAAAAATAAAATTCTGTAGAACTATTTAACTTAACAGATTAAACTATTATTTATGTTTTATTATCTATTATTATTTGTTATAAAGTTAGTATATCTAAACATAAAAATTATTCTAAATACCTATAAAAACATATTCTTTGTTTGGTTTGGTGTTGTTTCAATAACAAAGAACTGATGTTCAAGTTTTTGAATTTTTGATAAAGAAAAGAAATGCATTCTTATATTTCAATTTTTTTCTGTACTTTTTATTTTTTGGTAGCAGATTTGTCTTGCAAATAACTAAGCATTTAATAACCTTACAATTACTTTTAAATTTTTTTTTATATTTTTATACAACTCTGTGAAATCTTAAAAAGCATCTTTGATAAGTGGAATATAATATTTAACATTGATTATAGCATAAATTTCTTCTGTACTATGAAGGAGAAAAACTATTCTGTTGCCAAAATAACAATACTATAGATATAATTATAGTTGTAAATATTTAATTCTTTAGCTTTCTGCTTTTTATTAAGCATGATCAAATTTATCTAGATATAAATAAAATTTTAGTATAGCTTATAAATAATCTTCAATAACAAATATACAAACTAATATTTATATCACAGGCACTTTTATATTGTATAAGATTTTGTGTAATACTAATTCCTAGTAGATTTTATTTTTTTTCTACAATACATATTAATTCATCAAAGATATTATTATTTTTTTTACTGCAAAGTTGACTCTGCTATTACTTTTAACCCTAGAAATCTTTATTTAAAGTAAGACTTTCAAGCCTTCAAGAAAGTTAACTGCAGTGTTTAATATAATAGAAACATATTTATATTATATTGCCTCATTATTATTAGTAATTAGTCACATGCTTTTTAGTTTGAAAAGTATGACATCGAGACAAAGTTTAAATATCAAATCTTCTTTCTTAATTTGTTAAGTTATTAGAAAGAAAAAAGCAAGAGAAAAATAAAGGACTACAGAGACTTTAATAATCAGAAATTATATAAAACTTAGCATCCTAAGCTGCTTATTAGATGTAAATTAAGGAATCATTAATAAATTATTGGCTTTTATACTATATTTCATTAAAACCTACCCTAAACTACGATATATTAAAAATAGCTATTTTTTAAATATTTTAGAAGGTGGTATATTTTTTAGTTTTCTTTTTTTTTGAATTTCTATTATAATATATAAAAAGCATGATTAAATTCCATTATAATAAGATTATATGACCAATTCTTTATTTGAAATTAATAAATCTTATCCAAGAATCTTGATAACAAGAAATAGCTAACGTGTTCATTATTGATGCAAGACATAGTTCTTATATAACACACTTCTCTCTATAGTGTACTAAATATAAGGCATAGCATATACTGCTTGAGCTACCTTTATTAATATTTTTACATCCCTAAAAATATACAAATACTAATCTTTAATTTATCTTTTAGCAATAATGCTTTCTTATAATCTTTAGTTCTGGGGTCTCAATTATTAATTAAAATATTAAGTTTATATATTAAAGCACTTCACGATTTATGCTTTAATAATTTTGGTGCTTCTCTTTAATAAAAAAGGTTTCAAGTTGCTAATCCCCACTCAATTTATGATTTTTACCAGTAAGTCAAGTAACAAAATTCTTCTAGTAATATACTAGGAAAAAACTACAAAAAACTATATACAAAAATGAGATAAGATATAAAACTAATACAGTATAACTTTGTATATAGATGTGATGTGACTATATATAAATAGTTACTATAGACATGTTTTTTAATAATATAGTTTTTAGTATTTTGAGGGTTTACTACTATTTAATAGCTTTCTTAAAATTACTTTAAAATAAGGAGAATTCTTTTTTGCAATAATGGTAATTAAAACATTTATTATATACTGATTTTTAAATTCTATACTAATTTTAAATGCTAATTGGTTCATAATTATATAAGAGACTGGCATTTTGAATTGCTAGTAATATACTTGACAACTATCTGACAATATTATATATTGTCTAATATTAGTAACCTATTTTTATTTTTTGTTTTTTTTACTAGGTTCTACTTGTATTTTATGCATTTATATCAGAAATTTATAGAGCAGTTTAATATTACTTAATCATTAAACTAAAAATTGATTAAACTTATCATTATTTTTCTGAAGTTTAGAAAAGCTTATACAACTTATATATATATCAAGGATATTGTAATTTATTGTTATAGCAATATATCGCTATTCTCTGATCAACCAATTAGAATACAAGATCAGATGTAATGTAAAATTAAAACAGAACATTGAATTTTTTGACAAATTATTCATAACTCAAGATTTTGTTTATAAAACTATTCTTTGTACTCTAACAAAAAAAATTCTTTGTGCAATTTTACTATAAATTTTATCTTATTACTTTCATATTATCTTCACCTCACTCTAACCCTAACTAATGAAAAAATCAGATTATTTTGAGTTGTTTTGATTTCACATTACACAGATTCTATAGGTGGTGATATATTGTATATACGAAAATTTATAAAATCTATATATCAATATATATAAAGGTTTATTATATCTGTATTTAGTGATATACATTTTGACTGTCCAAAAACTTTTTTGGTACTGTTCAACATCTAAGTATCCAAGTATCTACAAGTATTTAGAGCATATTTAAGCTTTAATAATTAATAAATTTATTTAAAAAATATATAATTATATATTTTTTTAAGTGCTAAACATATTTTACTTAGAAAATAATATAGGTTATCATAATAAAATTTTGAGTAATTTTAATTTATTTAATTGTCTAAAATTGTTTAAAGTGTTCAAACTTATTGTCCACAACTGTTCTATGACAGCATTGTCTGTATTGGTGCTAATGCATCATATTTGCACAGGTCGAAATTTGATATATCCTACACTTAAGCTATACAAATCGGGTAGCAGATGAGTGAGGATGACGTAGGATATCCTACACATATAGTACACGTATAGTATACTAATCCTACACAAATACTCAAATACGTAGGATAAGTGTAGGATATGTGTAAGATATGTGTAGTTGGTTCGCAGACATGTGTGAGATATCCTACATGTCATTGCACAGGATAGGTGTAGGATAGGTGTAGAATATGTCAAATTCGGACCTGTGTTGAATTGGCCAATCATTACTGAATACATATTTGAAAACTATCTTCCTAATTAGTTATAGCTTTGTTATACAGAAAATAAGAAATTCTGTATAATACAAGAAATCTAAAAATCTCAAATAAACAGTATATTTAAGATAAGCTAAATTTGGTAGTGTTTTATTTTAAGTTTCAACTATATATATAATACAGCATATATTAAGTATGTATATATTATTCTTGAAATATTGTTTTTTTGTCTAGCACTCTATTAAGATTAATACTATAATTTAAGAAATTTATTTTTAATAAGCTATATATTACATATATAATATCAGAATACTTTTTACTATTCAAAAGTTTCAAAATTCATTTGTTTGTTTTTGTTCATTTGTTTATTGTTATTTATTATTATTAATTATCATTATTTGTATATGTAGTTGTTTAATTATCTGTTTGCTGATTCATTTACTTATTCTTTTTGATATTTGTTTACTTCTTTTTGCTAATTCATTTTTTATTTTTTTTATTATTTATTGCTTTTTTTATACAGTATTTATTTTAGGCAGTGTCATTTATCACCTAATTTTTTTTTATCAGAAGCTTACTCTCCTCCTCCTTCTTAATATATATTTTGATTAGGTCCTTATATATAATTTTTAATTTTTACTCCCCTCCGCCCTAAAAAATTATCTGATTTTTGGCACGTCTTTTAATTTAACACAATATGATCCTCAGCTTCTGCTTCTTTTGTTTGCTCTATACAATCAACACCAAAAATATTATAATTTGGAAAAGCTTTTATAATTCAAGACAGTGTTATAAGCATTAACTAGTTTGTTAGTTAAAAAGTTTGATAATATTTATTTATAAATATCATTCAAAGAGTACTAGCCAAAAAAACCTATACAATTTGAAATATTTGTATGAGTAATACAAACTAAAAAAAGGAGATCAAATATAATCAGGTTAGTTTTTAATTTTATTGATTATGTATATAGCACTATCAATATTTATTATAATATATAATGTCATTATAATATACAATGCAAAACAAAATTTTTATAGCAATAATATTATAAATTCAATACTAATTCATTTGCAATAATTGCTAACCTACATGATTTATAAAATTAGAGACTACTTTGATTATATTATTAGAATATATAGTTTGTCTTTTTTATTAGATTTAATTAGATATTATATTATACAATATACTTATATATCATACTTTAATGATTTATTAATTAAATTGTATAACATGAAGATCAAATATAGCATTAAATTTTTTGGTTTTTTAAAGAAGTTGATAATATCTCAAAATTTTGTTTATAAAACAACTTTTAATATTCTAATGAAGTATTAAATAGATAATAGTTTGTCTAAAATTTTCATATTTGATATATATTAATTTATAAGTTTTTTTTATATAAAGTTTAATATTAAAACAATAAATTTTTAGGCGTTTATTTTTGGTGCACCCGCACATAGTGCAGGACACATATATAGCATGTAGTTACACAGCCTCAAATCGACCAATAAAGTTATAAGTTCGAATATTAATAAAATACTAAACTTCATAACGCATGTAGATCACATGATAAATGATCCACATATCATCCAATAAGTGTCAAAATTATGAATAGGGTTTCAAGATCAGGCAGGCTATTTATTTTTATATACAAATATAGTTATGATTTTAAGCATTGACGTATAATGAACATTTTAAAACGTACTATATAGCAAACAATAACTTAACTCTAACCCTAAGTAATTCACCCTCACATTGCCACTACTTCTAATTTTCGTCTAATACTTATACCAAATCTACATCCAAGCTAAATTAACCTTTGTGTAATTTCACTCTAACGTCTAAACCTAGCTAATTATCTTTTAATTCTATTCTAATGTACTATTAACCCTGCCTAATTAACAAAAACCAATGTTTATATCATACTGAAGTTGATACCCACCTAAAATTGCAGCTTCAGTTAACTGAAGTTGTAATTGACCAAAATTAGCACCTGAAATTAAAATCATCTTGCATGTATTAGTTATCAATTTTAGGTGGGTATAACTTCAGTTAACTGGAGCTATAACCTTAATTAGGTATCAACTTCAGTCACAACATTTAAAACTCATGACCGACTATCATCCAAGTAGCACCATTAATCACCGAAGAATCGATACAATGAAGACATTAACAAGCAAAAATCACAGCGAATAACTGCTCAAAAAACAATAGATTAAACAACTACAGCACTATAGACAACACTCTAACAAAACGACAACTCCAACCAAACGACAACTCTAACTAAACGACGGCTTCAATCAAATGATGACTCTAATAAAATGACGGCTTCAGTGAATAACAATTCCAGCAAAATGGTGGCACATAG